ACACATGAACACACAACACACACATGAACACACAACATGAACGCACACACACACACACACAACACACACAATGAACACACAACACACACACATGAACGCACAACACACACATGAACACACACACACACATGAACACACACACACACACACACACTGAACGCACACAACACACACATGAACACACAACACACACATGAACACACAACACACACACACACACACACACACAATGAACACAACACACACACACAATGAACACACAACACACACACATGAACACAACACACACAACACACACACATGAACACACAACACACACATGAACACACAACACACACATGAACACACAACACACACATGAACACACAACACACACACACACACACACACACATGAACAACACAATAAACACACATAAACACTTGGGCCCGTCCGATATGTTTTTTTAGCTGCTGATCGTCGATGTAACAAACAATCTTCTGCACTCAGACTTTCGAGGTAAATGTGTGCGCGGTGCTGTAATCATGTGTGTAAATGTGGATCTTTCACACATGAGTGCAGGTCCAGTCACATGTGCACACACTAGAGTCACTTCACACTAGAACAATGTAAGAAAACAGAGTGTTTATGTGAAAGAACTACAGCAGCGAAACAACCAGAAACAACCAGAAACAACCAGAAACAACGAGAACACTCACAGGCTCCTCTCAGATCACAAGACTCAACTGACAAGTGTCTTTAATCCTGACGCAAAACAATCGTATACAATATAATCCAGCATGTGGACAGCAGCTGTGTGTGTGTCTTTGGGACAGTCCTGTATTTGTGTCGTCTCGTCTTCGCTCTCACACTTTGATAAAAACAGCTGTAGTTTTGTTTTGTTTTTTTCTCGGCAGTGTTGTGGATCAGACACAAGAGTTTACAACAGTGTCTCAGTGTCGCGTTAAAGAAACGCTCAGATCACACTGGTGTAAACAAAAGGACATGAGTCATGTGACTCTCATGATTGTTCAGGGACAGTACGGCGTCACAGACACAAATAACTCCTCTGATAAATATTGATGTGGTGTCACATATGAGGACATTTATGTGTCTGTAAATGGGAATAAATGGACAGAATACAGAGAGTCTAAGTCTACGTTCAGACTGCAGGGCTTAATGCTCAATTCAGATTTTTTTGTGAAATCCGATGTTTTTTCGAGGTCGTTCACATTTCCTGTTAAATGTGACTTGTATGTGACTCCAGTGTGAACATTAAACGGCCCAAAAGTGTCTCACATGTGACACTGGAGACATGACGACGTCAACCGCAGCGAGCGTCTCTGTGTTTACAGAAGTTGTCCAAACATGGACGCAGCATCGAGCACCTGGAGATTTTAAAGTTCCTCTCGTACCGGAGCCAGAACATGAACAACTGACTTGTTTTAAGGAGGAGATTGAGAAGGAGAAGGACCAGGTTTTTGGTCGTGGTGTTTTGTGGGACAGAACGTTGAAAGGAACGTGTGGTTGTGGAGACGGAGCCAAGAGTGGTGAGTGGAGATGTGCTTCACTTCAGTCACACAGAGTTCATTAACAATTTTCGCCTACTTCAGCGCAGAATAGTGACGTTTGTGTCTTGTTGATAACGTGTAGGTGGATGAATGTGCTGAAGTCACATGTCAAAAGATCAGATATGTATCGGTTTTAGGAGCACATATCCAAGTGTCCTGGGTCACATTTGAAAAAATCGGATCTGTGTCATTAAAAGATCGGATACAGGAACATAGAAGCCAAAAAATCGGATTTGGTAACTTCAGGCTGCAGACTGAACAGAGCTTAAGATTCAGAACGAGGTAAACCTGCCCATGTGGACAGTCAACTCAGACCAACAAGATTTAGGCCGATACGTCTCCAAGTGCTCATATCGGACGATAATATCGGCCAACCGATATATCGGACGTGCCCTAATAAACAGCACAAAGAAAACACACAGAAACACAAACACATAAACAACACAACAAACAAAATGGCACACAAACAAACACACAAACACAGATCTAGATCTTAAAAACACTACAGTGTGTTCAGGTGCATGATGGGAGGTGTAGTGTAGTGTAGTGTGTGTGTGTGTGTGTGTGTGTGTGTGTGTGTGTGTGTGTGTGTGTGTGTGTGTGTGTGTGTGTGTGTTCACCTCTGCGGCGGATGGGTCCCACAGACAGGATGTGCTCCTTCTGCTCGCTGTTCTCTGAGTACATCCTCCGTTTGTGTGGACAGTTCTGCACACGACACGAACAATTTGTACATGAACAAGAGAAATCAGTGAAATCAGAGAAAATCAGAACTGTTCTTCAGGCTGTTCTTCTCAGATCTTAGACGTCGTTAGTGGGTAAATCTGAGCCAGTTTTCCCGACATCTTTTGTAAATGTGTTCCACTGCAACAGTCGGGGAAAATATGGACGTCCCAGAAAGTTTAGGCTCCGTTTATACGACGACGTCTGAACAGGAGACGTAAAAGCAGCGTCGCATCTTCACTTTTTACTCCACGTTTAGACAAGAGTTTTTGGGAGTAAATTTGCTGCATACGGTGACGCAAAAGTGTGTGGAATTTGATTGTGTATTCATGCCAGACGACTCGGTGGTGATGTTTGTGACGTAAACATGTACACGACCTGAGCACACGTGACCAGAGTTTTGCGTCTTGGGCAGTGTAAATGGAAACTCTACGCTGGAGCCTATTCAACTTTTCCACTCTGGAGGTGGTTTCAGATTTTTGTGTTTTTAAGCCCAAAAACGCCGTCACCGTCTAAACAAAAAAACACTTCCAATAAAATATTTTGTTGTTTTTACTTGACAAAATATTTTATTTACTCTTGTTCTCGTGTAAACAGACCCTAAATGTCCAACCGATTCAGTTTGTAGTGAACAAGCCCGAGTTTGTGTTTTTGCACTTTCTCAACTCATACTATAATACTCCCTACAACTGTACAACAACTCACACTTATGTAACTGATAATACTCCCTACAACTGTACAACAACTCACACTTATGTAACTAATAATACTCCCTACAACTGTACAACAACTCACACTTATGTCACAGATAATACTCCCTACAACTGTACAACAAGTCGCCCGTATGTAACTGATAATACTCCCTACAACTCTACAACAACTCACACTTATGTCACATATAATACTCCCTACAACTGTACAACAACTCACACTTCTGTAAGAGATAATACTCCCTACAACTCTACAACAACTCACACTTATGTCACATATAATACTCCCTACAACTGTACAACAACTCACCCTTATGTTAACAGATAATACTCCCTACATTAGTGTGTGTGTGGATGGTGATAATGTTGTGCGTTCAGTGTTGTGTGTTTATTGTTGTATGTTCAGTGTTGTGCGTTTAGCGTTGTGCGTTCAGTGTTGTGCGTTCAGTGTTGTGCGTTCAGCGTTGTGTGTTCAGTGTTGTGTGTTCAGCGTTGTGCGTTCAGCGTTGTGTGTTCAGTGTTGTGTGTTCAGTGTTGTGTGTGTCAGTGTGTGTGTTCGTGTTCAGTGTTGTGCGTTCAGTGTTGTGTAGCGTTGTGTGTTCAGTGTTGTGTGTTCAGTGTTGTGTGTTCAGTGTTGTTGTGTGTGCAGTCGTGTTGTGTGCGTTCAGTGTGTGTTCAGTGTTGTGCGTTCAGCGTTGTGTGTTCAGTGTTGTGTGTTCAGTGTTGTGTGTTCAGTGTTGTGTGTTCAGTGTTGTGTGTTCAGTCAGCGTTGTGTGTGTCAGTGTTGTTGAGTGTTGTGTGTTCGTTGTTGTGTTCGTGTTGTGTGTTCAGTGTGTGTGCGTAGTGTGTGCAGTTTGCGTTCGGCGTTGTGCGTCTGCCGTACCACTTTGCAGGCGTTGGTGTCGGAGTCGCACAGCGTCACGTCGCAGTGCAGATGAACCTCGTCGTAGTCGCCGATGAACTTGAAGACGGTGACGTGGAAGCGGCAGGTCAGGCCCACGCCGTTCTCCGCCATCCCGATGGTGCTGTCCTTCGTGTTCGGACACCTGCACGAAAACAAAAAAACAAAAAAACACTGCGATTTACAAACGTAGACCAGAGTCCCACGAACGGAAAACACGTTACACCTGAACTTTTGGTCTGTGGATGTTCAAAGTGTTTGTTGTTTCTGTTTCGGTCGGGGACAGTCCCTCGTAACAGTGCATAGATATAGAACAGTAGATGTCGCGTTCAGCTTCTAGGTGTTAATCTCGCCGCCATCTTGGTATGGGGGGTCCATGGTCTAAAATGTCACTGAACGTCATTTCACCAAAGCTTTTTCACAGTATCGAAGCAAAGATGCCAGATTTTTGTCCAAATGAGCAGGTAAAAAGATGTTTGGAGTAGAGCCCGACCGATATGGGCCCCTGTAGATATAATGGCTATCGGCCGATATGTTTTTCTGATATGGGCCGATATTTCACGTGGGCAGGTTATACCTCGTTATAAATCTTAGACTCTCTACATTCTGTTCATTTAATCCAATTTACAGACAGATAAATGTCCAAATATGTGCATCTGTGTTTATCTGTGGAGTCATTTGTCTGAGTGTGTCCGTACTGTCCCTGAACACACCACAGAGTCACGTCACTTCACTCACGTGTGTTTGTTTACACCCGCAGCCGTGCGCAACACTGAGATTATTTTCTTTTTAAGGACAATTGGTTTGAGTCTGGATTAAAAGGACATTTATTAGTTCAGACTTGTGATGTGGGAGGAGCCTGTGTGAGGCTGAGTGTTGGAAATATGTCGACTCTGAAGCTAGTTTAGGTTAGTGATTATCTGCTGTAGCTCCTGCACATAAACAGACTGTTTTCTATTGGTCTGTGACTGTATTGACCGTATATTTGTTACTGGACCAGCATTGATGTAAATGATGCTGTGAATAGACGTGTGAATGATCCACATTTACACATATAATTCATTACCGCGGTGCGCAGCATTTATGGCTAAAGGTTAATAGCGGTAGTTTCTTTACTCGCTAGTAGTGATGAGTCGGTCGCGAACGAAGCGGCTCTTAGATCCGGCTCTTTGAAGCGAACGACGGGAGCCTGATCCTTATTGGGAGCCGTGTTTTCTGTTTCTCTCACTTTTTTCCTCTTCACGCCGCGTTCAGACTCGTGGGAGTTTGACAGCGGCAGCGGCTCAAAACGAAACTTTCAGAAATCTGCGTGTGCATAGGATAGAAAAAACTTGCATATTTGTCTGTAGTTCAGCATAAAATGAATAAACCAGGATTAATCTTGGGGTTGAGAGACGGAGAGAGACAGAGACCGAGTCCCGACACTCAGTCCTTTTTCAGTCCTGGTTTAGTTCTGCTTTAGTCCTGCTGCCGATCACTAGTAGCTAGAATGTGATCTACTGTCTGTAAATATGACACAAAGAGGCAGAAGAACAATAAATGTTGCTTAAATAAACGCAATTTAAAATCCACTACAGCCAAACCTACGTTTTTTAAACAATTCAAGATTTACAGTGAATTTTTTCATCACTAAATATATCAGCGATTATATCGACAGCTCCAACTCCCATTATATCGGTTTCATATCGGCCACAACAAAATCCATATCGGTCGGGCTCTAGTTTGGAGAATACGACACACATTTACGCACACATTTTGACACGCAAACCTACAGCGCGGGACTTTCGGCCATCGTGAAAAACGTCTATTCTTAAAAGTTTCTCTAATTTCCTGCTCCTCGTGTGTGAGTTTAGTTGAGGTAAATGTAAGTGTGACAGTTAAACCCAGTTAAGACACAAAATAAAGGTTTATTCAAATTCAGTTTAAATTCAATTCAAATTCAAAAAAGGTTATTGTCAATTCTTCATACGAAACATATGAAAAATATAGATTGTTTTTTCTCATACCCGAGCGAATAAATAAATAACAATAATGTTTATATTGGTAATAAAGAGATTTAAATTCACAAAACTCAACAGAAGTGACAGAAAACTATTTTTACCACTGATCTCAGTCCACATCGTTCAGAAATTATTTGATTAAATCTGTTTTGAGGTGAATTCACTGCATTAGTGTAATAGACATTAGTGTCCACTAGAGGGCGAACTACAACAACTCTGTGTATGTGGAGAAACTTGTGTCTATAAAAATGTTATTTCTGAACATAAAAAATCCAAACCAACTCTGTTGTATAAAACATATCCACAGTTTTTGTTGGTACAAATTCTCAAATCTGTGGAAAAGTGAAGTGTGTCTTTTGTTGAAGCTGTAAATGAATCTTATGGAGAATGTTCTGTGTCCAGTCCCAACATGGCCGCCGCAGGTTCTGTTATTTCTATGCACTGTGTCACCGTGGTAACTGCTGAACAGTCCACCATAGACATGCATGCAGAACACCCCCAGCATGATGTCATTGTAAAGTATGACTTAAAGGTGCACTGTGTAACTTTTCAGGTGGAGGGTCCCTCACCTGCTTGTTTCTATGGAGACGTCATTGCTCTGCCTGGAATGTTCCACAGTGTGACTTTAAACAGCTCTACTTTACATGTATTCAATTACAGGTGGTTTTAGAGCTAAAAAATACCTAGAAAAAACAGGCAACTCACCCTTATGTAACAGATAATACTCCCTACAACTGTACAACTCACTCTTATGTAACAGATAATACTCCCTACAACTGTACAACTCACCCTTATGAGACAGATAATACTCCCTACAACTACTCCCTTACAACTGTACAACTCACTCTTATGTAACAGATAATACTCCCTACAACTGTACAACTCACCCTTATGTAACAGATAATACTCCCTACAACTGTACAGTACTGTGCTGGTGTAACAGGTTTGCCAAGTGTGACAGGTGTTACTGGTGTGTACAGGTGTGACGTGTGACAGGTGTGACGTGTGTGACAGGTGTGACAGGTGTGACAGGTGTGACAGGTGTGACGTGTGTGACAGGTGTGACAGGTGTGACGTGTGTGACAGGTGTGACGTGTATGACAGGTGTGACAGGTGTGTGTGACAGGTGTGACGTGTATGACAGGTGTGACAGGTGTGTGACAGTGTGTGTGTGTGTGACAGGTGTGTGTGACAGGTGTGACAGGTGTGACAGGTGTGACAGGTGTGACAGGTGTGACGTGTGTGACAGGTGTGACAGGTGTGACAAGTGTGATGTGACAGGTGTGACGTGTGTGACAGGTGTGACAGGTGTGACATGTGTGACAGGTGTGACAGTGTGTGACAGGTGTGACAGGTGTGAACAGGTGTGAGTGTGACAGGTGTGTGTGACGTGTGACAGGTGTGACAAGTGTGACAGGTGTGACGAGTGTGACGTGTGTGACAGGTGTGACAGGTGTGATGACAGGTGTGACGTGTGTGACAGGTGTGACGTGTGTGACAGGTGTGACAGGTGTGACAGGTATGACAGGTGTGACAGGTGTGACATGACAGTGTGTGTGACAGGTGTGATGACAGGTGTGACAGGTGTGACGTGTGTGTGTGACATGTGACAGGTGTGACGGTGTGACAGGTGTGACGTGTGTGACAGGTGTGACAGGTGTGATGTGTGACAGGTGTGACAGGTGTGACAGGTGTGACGACGTGTGACAGGTGTGACAGGTGTGACAGGTGTGACATGTGTGACAGGTGTGACGAGTGTGATGTACGTGTGTGACGTGTGACAGGTGTGACGGTGACAGGCGCGTGACAGGTGCGGCGGGCGTGACAGGTGCACAGGTGCGGCGGGCGTGACAGGTGCAGCGGGCGTGACAGGTGCGGCGGGCGTGACAGGTGCGGCGGGCGTACCCCCTCTCGATGATGATGTAGCGCAGCCGGTCGCCGCTGAAGCGCGACGGCGTGGCCCAGCACATGTTGACGATGAGGATGAGCTGGTTCTCGTCGGCTCCCTCCACGAACACGCCCACGTACAGGACGTCGCGGGTGCTCAGCACCACCTCAGCCCTCGCGGTACGGGTGACGGTACGAGCCGTTCTTGTACAGCGCCATTTTAGTGATGAAGTTTCCCTCCTGGGTCGGCAGCGTCAGGTTTATCACACTGGAAGAAAAGGAACAGATAATACTCCCTACAACTATAATACACCCTACAACTATAATACTCCCTATAACTGTACTACAACTCACCCTTATGTAACAGATAATACTCCCTACAACTATAATACTCCCTACAACTGTACTACAACTCACCCTTATGTAACAGATAATACTCCCTACAACTATAATACTCCCTATAACTATACTACAACTCACCCTTATGTAACAGATAATACTCCCTACAACTATAATACTCCCTATAACTGTACAACTCACCCGTATGTAACAGATAATACTCCCTACAACTGTACAACAACTCAACTTATGTAACAGATAATACTCCCTACAACTGTAATACTCCCTATAACTGTACTAAAACTCACCCTTATGGAACAGATAATACTCCCTACAACTGTACAACTCACCCTTATGTCACATATAATACTCCCTACAACTATAATACTCCCTATAACTGTACTACAACTCACCCTTATGGAACAGATAATACTCCCTACAACTGTACAACAACTACCTTATGAACAGATAATACTCCCTAAACTATACTCCCTTTACAACAATAACCTTATGTCACATATATACTCCTACAACTTACAACAACTTACCTGTACTCCCTTAAACAGATAATACTCCTACAACTGTACAACAACCCTTATGTACAACACAACAGATAATACTCCCTACAACTGTACAACTCACCCTTATGTAAGATAATACTCCCTACAACTGTACAACTCACCCTTAAACAGATGTACAGACATACTCCCTACAACTTGTGAAGATAATACTCCCTACGTACCTGAGCATGGGTCGGAGGACGGTCTCCAGGGAGATCTTCAGGTCCAGTTCGTAGGCGCAGGAAAACTCCACGTTGATGGTTTTGTCTCTGGTGATGACGTTTCCCGTGTTGTTGACGCTCTCGATCCACACCGTGTTCTTGTACATGATGTGAGTCCCGTTCGACTGAGCGCCCACGAGAACACAAGGAGAACACAAGAACACAAGGAGAACACAAGGAGAACACAAAGAGAACACATGAGAACACAAAGAGAACACAAGGAGAACACAAAGAGAACACATGAGAACACAAAGAGAGAACACATGAGAACACATGAGAACACAAAGAGACACAAACACAAGAGAGAAACACAAAAGAGAACACAAGAGAGAGAGAACACAAAGAGAACACAAGAGAACACACATGAGAACACAAGAGAACACAAAGAACACAAAGAGAACACATGAGAACACAAGAGAACACATGAGAACACAAAGAGAACACAAGAGATGAGAACACAAGAGAACACAAAGAGAACACAAGGAGAACACATGAGAACACAAAGAGAAACACGAGAACACAAGAAGAACACATGAGAACACAAAGAGAACACAAGGAGAACACAAGAGAACACAAAGAGAAACACACACAAAGAGAACACATGAGAGAGAACACAAAGAGAACACAAGACACAAAGAAACACACACAGAGAACCACAAGGAGAACACAAGAGAACACATGAGAACACAAAGAGAACACACATGAGAACACAAAGAGAACACAAGAGAACACACAAAGAGAACACA